TCCCCAGTGCATTTCTGTTCTTATTTACAAGTGTCTCACAGATTTTCATTTATCTTTTTCCCTATGTTATTTTCATCTATCTGGTCATCTATGTTTGAAACACCAAACCCCAACTGTTGTTTTGTGAGATCTTATAAAATTAACTCGATTTCTCTTCCAAGGTTATAGAACTTTTCAAATTAACCTACACTTAGTTGATTATATCCTGAGTGCTAGAATGAGTATGAGTACTTATGCTTATGGAATCTTTTTGGATGTTGAAGACACTGCCACCCAAACAGCCCTGACACTACTGTGTAAAAAGAAACAATTTATTTTTCCAGATTACTCAGAATCAAAAGACTTGAGTTAAGCAAATAAATTTCTGTTTATCTCTACTGACAGCACAAAAAAGTGAATATAGTTATTCTATAAGACCATCAATTAATCATTACTTCCAAAAGATCACTTTGTATTGTAATGTTTATCTAGAGAAAATGTGGCAAAGAAAAAAAAGTAGTACAGAATTAAAAGAGTTGTGTTCAAATTTACACTCAAAAAGAGTTGTGTTTAAATGTGTACTCAATACTTTATTTCTGCATTTTTTTTGGGGGGGGGTCTGGTCGTGGGGCCTGAACTGTGGGCCTGGGCGCTGTCCCTCAGCTCTTCAGCTCAAGGCTAGCACTCTACCACTTGAGCCACAGCACCACTTCCGGCTTTTTTTTTCTGCTTATGTGGTGCTGAGGAATTGAACCCAGGGCCTCATGCATGCAAGGCAAGCGCTCTACCACTGAGCTACCTTCCCAGCCCCTATTTCTGCATTTTTTAACCTTCACTGGCAATTTATAAGTGGTTAGAAATTTACATTTTGTTTTGAGGTCAATCATTAGTTATGAGGAGACATGAGAACAAATGTTTAGCACAAGACTATTATGTCAATGAATTAAGGCCCAATTCAAGATGAAAACCACAAAGCTATGCTATAGAATCCCGATGTTTGTTTGTTTGTTTGTTTTTGGTCAGTCATGGGGCTTGAACTCTGGGCCTGGGCACATCCCTCAGCTCTTCAGCTCAAGGCTAACACTCTACCACTTGAGCCATAGCACCACTTCCAGTTTTCTGGTGGTTAACTGGAGATAAGGGTCTCACAGATTTTCCTGCCCAGGCTGGCTTTGAACCATGATCCTCAGATCTCAGCATCCTGAGCACCCAGAATTACAGGTGTGAGCCACCAGCATCCAGCTAAATCTCTACTTTTTAATCTTGTTTTGTGGAGTACACAGAGGGAGGGAAAATGTTCCCTCTACCCCATGGGAGTTCAAAGACCAAGTATGACCTAAAGCTTACTTATCTTACTATAACTCCTCTGTACATCCCATTTACAAAAAGAAAAAAAGGGAGAGAGAGAAATCAGAATAGAACAACAAAGAAATAAAACTGACAGCAGGCAGATTAACAGGACAATAAGCATATGTATAGGAAGAAAACTAACACCCCCAAATCCAGTGAGATCGAGAAATTTACACAGCATACCTTCTTCACAGATGAGAAGGAAAGGAAATGATTCTGGAGAGAGGTAAATAGGCCCAAAGAACACATGTTAGTCTGTGACAAAGGCTGTGTGAGTGTGGTGCAGACCTCCAGTGCTTCCTGTCATCTGAGCTGATGCTCACTGGTTCATGATATTCCCAGACTCACCGCTAACCTCATCTCAGAGGTTTTGTCTTAAGGTAGATATAAGGAGTTCAGAGAAAGCTCCTCTTAGCATTTGCTGCTCCCCAAAGGCTTCAGTTTGAAGTTACTGGTAAACTAACGTGGCATATATTGGGATGGCTTATCCTCAACTCTTCAAGTGCAACGCGTAATAAAAATATTTAAGATAAAGCTTGTTCTTGAGGCTCTTATACTGGCATAGGTAAAATAAACTGGTATTCAATATATCTTTTTCTAATGAAAATGACAAATCTGATGGGTACTGGTGGTTCACACCTGTAATTCTAGCTACTCAGGAGGCTGAGATGTGAGGGTCCTGCTTCAAAGTCAGCCTGGGAAGGGGAAGGAAAGTCTGTAAGACTCTTATCTCCAGTTAACCACCAGAAAACCAGAAGTGGAGCTGTGGCTCAAAGTGGTAGAGAGTCAGGCTTAAGCAGAAAACAGACAGCACCCAGGCCCTGAGTTCAAGCCCCATGACTGATGGGGGAAAAAGACAAACCTGATCCACATTCATACTTTGAATAAAAAAGGTAGAAAGGGACAAGTTAATTTCTAGGCTTTTTTTTTTTTTTTGTCGGTTGTGGGGCTTGAACTCTGGGCTTGGATGCTGTTCCTGTGCTCTTCAGCTCAAGGAGAGCACTCTACTGCTTGAGCCACAGCACCACTTCCGGTTTTCTAGTGGTTTATTGGAGATAAGAGTCTCACAGACTTTTCTGCCCAGGCTGGCTTAGAACCACGATCCTCAGAACTGAGCTTCCTGAGTAGCTAGGATTACAGGCGTGAGCCACTGGTGCCCGGTGGACAAGTTAATTTCTAAAGTGAGAAATTACAGAGGCCTTTCAGCTTTCCATACTGAATTATACAAGCAGGTGTCATTTTTGTAATCAGGGAAAGAAACCAACATCAAAACATATGTTTACAATTAAATACTGCAAGAGAATGAATGAATATAAAATCTTTGTTGGTTTAGGGTATTGATGATTTGTGGGTATATTTCTTAAGGTTATTGTGTTGTTTTAACTGAATTTTAATGATAGGCTTAATTCAGCAATCAAAGAAATTTTGAGTTCTTTGTTTTGAATAACCTGCTTTATTATATACTAGGAATAGGGGTCTCATTGTCATTTTTATTTCTAGCTAAAGAGCAGTGCCATGAAAAAATTAAGATGTATTCTCTACTTTGTTTGCAATATATTTTTTCAAATTCCTATCTGATGCCCAATCTCCATAGGGAATAGTAGAATAAATCTCTTCTCAGTTTACTTACCATAGTTCCCTCCCTTCTTCCCTCCCTCCCTCCCTCTTTGTTTCCTCTTCCTTCCTTTCCCTTCCCTCCTCTTCCCTCCCCACTTCCTCCCGTCCTTCCTTCTCTCCCTCCCTTTCTTCCAAGAACTGAGATTTTTCTCTTTCCCTTCCTAGTACTGAGATTTGCACTTAGGGCATTGTGCTTGCTCAGCTTGCATGCTCCATTGGTGCTCTACCACTTGAGTCACACCTTCAGCCTCACTTTTTGCTTGTTGTTTTGGAAACAGTCTTGCAGACTTTTCTGCCATGGCTGAAAAGTCAACTGTGAACCTCTGGATCTCAGCTTCCTGAGTAGCTAGGACTGTAGGCACAAGCAATTGGCACTCAGCTACAATACTCTATTTCTTCATCATATTGCTAAGGTAGTTCTTCTATATAATTAAATACAATATGGTCATTTATAGCTCCTTAATTTCCAGATGCTTTTATGACATTAATATATTGTTCTAAAAAAATCAAACCAATTTCTATATTTTAGAAAAGCAGCAGCAGACTTGACCTGCTTGTTTTAAGAAGGCCCAGCCTGTTCAGATGGAAACAGACCTTTCTTTACTCCAGCACGGCCTAGTTACATCATGGACCATTTTTCAGATTCTGAAATCTTGTCTTTAGTTTCACTTCAGGCTGAATCACTCTTTTCATAACTGTGCGATAAAGACTGCAATCTCTGTCGCTTTTCTTATTTAATACAATTCAACTGTCACTTTAAGTGAAAAAATTCTGATTGGAGACAGAAATTCCCCCTTAATGAAAGTTTATGTCCTTCAGGCCATGAACAAGGGGTGTCTGCTACTTGCTATCTCCATTTAAAAATTATTTTGTAAAGTTAATTGTGAGGTTCGAAGTATCCTTTAAGCACTATTAAATTCCTTTACTCATTCTGTAAGACAATGGGAGGGGGTTCTTTCTGAGCTATTCCGTTGCCCTACAACAGAGAATTAAGCCAGCCAAAAACAGCCTTGATTTTAATTATGGCCTGATTCCACATTTCATTTCCATGGTAGTTCAGATTTAAGACTTCAAGAACATTCCCTAACACTTAAGCACTTCTGTTTCTTAAAGTTACATTCATCAGGCTCCTAAAGGGTAGTATACAGTAAAGAATGAGGTCTAGAATATGGAACTGGGGAGAAATAGAGATCCACACACTCATACACCTGCCATACAATGGAGGACATACAATAGAAGTAAAAGGAAGGGGGGTAAAACAAAGTCAAGGGGGGCAGAGGGGTTCTCTCCATGTAGCTAGTATGGTGGCATGACGCAATCAAGAGTGATAGAATTAGCAGGAAATGTATGCGGACGCAGAGTGTGGCTTTACTTAGTGTGGGGTCACTTAGATTTAAAATGATTTTAAGCTGGGTAATGGTGGTCCATGCACCTGTAATCCTAGCTACTGAGGAGGCTGAGACCTGAGAATCATGGTTTGAAGCCAGCCTGGGCAAGAAAGTCCATGGAACTCTTACCTCCAATTAACAAGCAAAAAGCCAGAACTGGAAATACTGCTCAAGTGGTGAAGAACCAGGCCTGAGTGGAAAAAACTAAAAGACAGTTCCCATACCCCAAGTTCAAGCCCTAGTACTAGCATAAAAATGAATGAATGAATAAATAAAAGACTTTAAATACAATGACCTGTTAGTACAGCTTCTGAAGTTTGAAAAAAAAGTTTTAAAATAGCATTTTTCTTACTTATAAATCCTATTTTGATGAGATTCTGAGAAATTAGTGGGAAGAAAAATACTTTCATTTAAGTAAGTGACTCTTCCTTTTGATTGTGCAGCAGATCAAATTGTCTCTGAAATTATTATTTTTAACAACTTAAAATACAAAATTCTAATGCTATTTGGGATATTCAGTTGGAGAACTCACTTAAGAGCCATGTGAATGGGTAAGTGTTCAAAGGCAAATTAAATTAGTTTGTATTATTATTTTAGCTGCATCTTAATGCAATGGAGGCAAAAACTCTAACAAAGACTTCATAAAAGAAAATGATGCAGACCAACCTTTTATTGCACCCACAATATTTTGGTCTAGTCCTTTCCGGTTGTCATTGAGTCCTCTTTTCCTCTTCCCATTGGGTAAGGAGTTAGCCAAAGTCTTGTCATCAAAAAATGCACACACCAGTTTTCTAAACAGAAGGCTTCCTGAGCGAGTGTAGTTTGATAATATAGAGTCCAGCTGAGATTTGGGCATAAACACATCAAAGCCTTCAGCAAGTTGCACTTCTGGCTACCAAAAGAACAGAAATAGTTCATTAAAAGCAAGCTTTGAGGCATTTGACTTTGGGCATAAGTGTATCCAAAGTATTACTGGCTATTGAAATGTCCACACCATGTGTACAGATACAGTCTCAGTGTTTTGGTACCAGGATTTACAATCTATAAAAACAGTGACCAATTATAATTCACAAAACAAGATGGTCTCATTCCAATGTTAAGTCATATCCAACACACTGAAAAAGTGGTCCTGTTCATATGGCTAAGAAGGCTGGATAATCACATGTCATATATACACCTAGGAGGACCTGACCCTACTGTGTGGAAATCCCTCATGCAGGAATGAAGGCCCAAAGACATGAGACCCAAAATTACAGCTCATGTCTATAATTCTAGCAAGTCAGGAGGCTGAGATCTAAGAATTGCAGTTCAAAGCCAGTGCAGGCGAGAAAGTCCGTGAGATTCTTATCTCCAATTAACCACCAGAAAACTGGAAGTGGCGCTGTGGCTCAAAGTAGTAGAACACTAGCCTTGAGCAGAAAAGCTCAGGGACAGTGCTTAGGCACTGAGTTCAAGTCCCACAACCACCAAAACTTTAAACAAACAAACAAACTCAGATGCACTCAGCATATTACTATTTATAGATCACATTTTCATTCCACAAGGGCCTGGCTCTCTCTGCGATGCTAGTAGCTGTTCACTGTGGAGCTATTTCTCCCCCCATGCCAATGGAAAGCACATAAATAAATGATACAAAAATAAATATAATAAGCAAGTTTTACAGGCATTTTCAACTCACTCCCTAATCCCTACTTGTGGGAAGAAGAGCTAAAGCTACAATCTAGAAAAGCCTAGAAAACTAGTTCCCTAGGCACACAGTTTCCCCGTCGGGGATCTCCTGTTATAAAAAGACGTACCAGATTCCTTTCAACTTGGACTCTGTTGCAGTTACAAACCCAGAAACATGCTACAGCTCCAGCAGCACACCACCTGTATTTACAACTTGCCTATTCATATTGTGACCCATTTGCATGCTTTTCCTAAGTCCTTCCTGCCCATGGAGGCAGCTACTCATGCCCCATTACTACTAGTCATTTGACATAGGCACCTGGTTATCGTTATTACACTGCATGTTGTGCATAGGGTCTGGTGCATAGAAGGTACTCAATAAATGCTTACTGAATAGACCAAATTTCATTAATCATATGACCTGAACTACTTAACTATTTGCTGTTGGTTTTTACACAAACACAATAGCTTTACAATGAAGAAATGAAATTGGTAATATTTATGAGAAAAAAAGCCCGGAATGCCTCACTCAGAAATAAGCTTCACACACTATCTAAGCTCATTCTACAATCCCATCTTGGTCACTTTTGTGACTATTTGATATATTAAATCACACTAAATATGTGAAGATCTGGAGTTTGTTTCCCTCCTGTGTTCTTCTGCTTTCAAAGTGCCCAGCACACCAGGCCAAAGTGGAGAGCTCTCTGTGACGGTCTGTTTGGGTGACGGAGGAAAGCTGGCTGGGTCTTCTCCCTCCAAAAATGGCATTTGGGACTTAGATTATCCAGAAAGTCATCTCATTCCTAGGCTTCACTTTGCCATTCAATGTTTGGATTATAAATACTTGGTAAATATCACTGTGAAAACAGTGCTGTCAGATTCTCCCCGACTTTTGTGTCTTGCTGCTTTCTGGCTAAAAGGTCTGTAGTGGAGTTTGACAGGCGCCGGAGGCTGAATACCTAAGTCATAGCGCAAGGCTGGTACATACCAGGCACTAGAGGAAATGCCTGTCAAATGACTCGATGTGGTCGTATAAGGACAGAAAGAGTCATAGCATGAGAATTGAGGGAAGTTCTACTCAGAAATGCGATTTTATCTTGCTCATCTTCTAGATGAGCTGGTTTTTGTTAAGTGCTCTTATATTATTTGGAAGCCAATAGAAAAGTGTATCTCACAGCTATTTGCAGGGCTATGGTGGTACAGAGTTGGAAAATTGCAAGAGGAAGGAGAAAGGACTTAGCCCAGCCTCACAACATTTGCTTTGATCCTGACACCACTCACCAAGTCTTAAACTGGCCACCTGTCTCTGGAGACACCCAGTGCTTTCCCTGTGGTCCTCCCAGGAGGACTTGGACCCTGCTTTGAGTGTTACTAACCTAAATGAGCCACAAAGCAGAGCTAGCTACTCCCTCATTCACATACTCAGGGGATTTTCTACAAAATATGTCCACTGCGCTTTCCCCACTGCAGTTATTGAGTGGAAAGTTTGGTTTCTCATTAAGATGATTACTCTTTGATATTTGGTATGTTGAGCACCCAGTTGGTGTCTAATAAATATGTGTTAGAATCAACAGAACACAACCTAGGAATTCACTCAAAATAACTGGTGCAGATTTTGAGCTCTTCTGTCCTGGTATAAAGGCAGTGGCTATGTGTCTCCCATGAGGTGGATGAGTCTACCAGTATGCTTGAACAGTCATGGGGTGACCCCAAGAGGGGAACACTGGGTCAACATCTACTTACTAGGAGCGCTCAATGGGGAACAATTTCAAGGCTGGCTCTGTACTGAAACTAGACATAAACATTTACATAAATTACAAGTCAAGGATGACCACAGGAGAGGTACCAAGCAAGTTCTCTTGCTTTTAGCTTTAGGCTAGACTGGCTCCTGCAGAGGAGAGGGAACTCCAGCAACTCAGAAGAGGATTGGACAGCAGTTTGTTGTGGTAGTGGTGCATGTGCCAGTACTGGGGCTTGAACTAAGGGCCAGGGCATTACCCTTTGGCTTTTTTGCTCCGAGGCTACTACCCGAGTCACAGCAATACTTCCAACTTAACTGGAGATAAAGAGTTTCACAGACTTTCCTGCCTAAGCTGGTTTTGAACTGTGATCCTCAAGATCTCAGCCACTTGAGTAGCGAAGTACAGGCATGTGTCATCAGCACTGGTTTGGACAGCATTTCAGCAGAGCCTTGGAGGTAAGATTTATGAGACAGCAGTACAGATGCTGTTTGAGACATGTGCTGTGACCCCCTAAAACTGAACACTTGGGAGACGTCTGTTGTGCTGCCTTCCTTCAGCATGCAGCCCTGTGATTCCCAAGATGCCGCCCTGGGCTAAAGCTCTTGCTGCCTGCTCTTTTCTATTCCTGGAGCAATACTGCTGTTTTGACCTGCTCTTACCATGTCAGGGAATGGGAATTTAACCACTTGCAAGCACCTTACAGAGGAATAAAGAATCTGAATAGCCTGTGTCAATGGCCAGTGGTAGCTGCAAAGACAGTGGCACTCTGGCACTCCCTACGTTCTTCTCCCACCTCCCAAGGGGGTTTCTTAGCAGGCAGTACCTGAGCACTAAGGCATGATTACCAGGTGCCACAAAGAATCATCAGTCCCTTAAAAAAAAAAAGGAGTACAGAAAATATGTCCATCTTGTTTTCACCGAGAAACTTATAGCTTCTTCTATTTTATATACAGTTCATTACTACTTTAGAGTCACCTACAGCTATTTAAAAGAAGACTGAAACTTTCTGTACTTGTATGACTACATTTTTTTCCTTTTTATTGTTCATTGTTTGGGTAAGGCTTCTCTGTTTACTAATGATAGTTATGAAAAAAATTGCTCCAACCATGTGTATCATTCAAAAAACTAGACTTCTCTTGACAGGCCCCACTATTTGATATTTAAACCAATGTTGTAGCTAGCTACAGCATTAATTTATGGAATATGATTACAACCAATAGGATGTAACCTTTAAATGACACATGTTACAGAATTGACATGCGCAAAGTCTGAGATCCCCCTCTGAGGCTGGATCTGCAGGCATGCCCTGCACACTATAGGTACACCAAGGTATCTACAAGTGCGGAACTGTCCTCCTTCAATCTTATTACCTTCTATCACAGTGAAGTTCTATAGGACAAACTATACAGTACTGATGGCTCTTGAGAATATCTCTAGATTCAGGCCTGCCACAGTAACTTTTGTTTCTTTTGTTTTGTTTCTCACTCTTGCTCTCCTTTTACTTAGAAGTGCTTGGGATTAATGTCTAGTTTGGATGAAGCACCCAGAAAATCCCAAATCCCTCTGAGCAGATCGTATTACAAACTAAAGAAAAACCAAAGTAAGATACTTTCAGGATCATAGAACTGAAGCATGAAGATGGTGGAGTCCGGAAGTGTAGATGGCCAGGGCAATCTCAGATGGGCTCAACACCAAAACCTGAAAGACAACCAGGGCCAGGGTGGGGGTGGGAGGCGGGGGGAGGAGGGAGGGGTTGAAGGGTTGAGGTGGGTTCTGCTGAATATGGATAACTGATTGCATCCTGAAAACCTTACAACAGGATTGGTAACAATGCTTAAAGGATGTGAATTTAGTCCTATTATGATCCCTCATGCATACTTACTATAAAAGTTATAGTTTATTAGGTGCATTTCTAAGAAAATGAGCTTTACCTTATGAAAAAGTTTTTTAATGTGCAGAAACACATAGTTGGTTTTGCTCATAAATGTGATCTCCTCCTGTCTGAAAACAACTAACATTGTTTCCTATAAATCAGGTGTGTTCTAGGCAGACTTATTTTTACCATTTATTAAACCCTATGCAAAGAACTTGGCTATTGGACATATGAGGCCAAGACCAATAGGCTGGGCTGTGATGGTGGCCCCAGCTGTTAATGTTAAGCAGCCTTGGACAGATGTGGCCTGCAGATGTGGCCAAGCTGAAATCCCAGAGTTGGAGCAGAAGCCTGCTGGATGTGCTCCATCAAGATCAATACAGTAAGGGGAATTCTTCTATTTTAAGTGAAAAGTGCCCATCCAAGTTCTATGAAAAATTAAGTATAATAATTTATATGCTAGCATGCATTTAATGTTGGATAGGATAAAAAATTATAAGAAATCATTAAAGATGCAATTCTTTACAGATGATTTTGATAAAGTTTCAGTAGAATAATGTAATTTTAGAAAAGACAATACAATGTGGTCCCTTGAAAGCTGTTTCATGC